ATGATTAAATTCATGTTAAACAATTATAGTAAACAAGATGAAATTTAATATTTTTATGTAAAAAAAAGAAGATTTTGTCCATGCTAAATTCTAATTAAATACAAATCGAGTAATATGAATTCAAATTTTGTGTTTCTAATCTGTGTTTTCCTTAATAAGGATATATATATTAATTGAGGATTAATAATTTTAAGTATACGCTTAAAAATATTTTATGCTACTTCTATTTATGTTTTTACACAACCCTTTAATAATATTTTTATTAAAACTATTTTTCATATTTTGGTCACACGTTAGAAGTTATAAAGTCAAGACAATTTTTAATCAATAATCAGTCTAAATATCAAATATATCTAAAATTTTGGACGCTTTCAAATTTCGGATGAGATAATTGAAATGACACGAGGGTTATAAAGCATATATACATCTTGTCGATCTCTTTAACATTAAACTTGTTATTTTCTTTTTTTATCATTTAATAATAAGTACTTGTGTTATTTTACTAAGTGAATATCTCTTATTTTAGTAAGTGTATAGCTTTTATATTACAAAGAATTTATCTTATATTTCTAAGTGAATACTAAAATGCACGACGCAATCGGTTTAAGATTTAAATCATATAAAAAATTAAATCAACCTAAATTGGCATTAATTAATTGGTATATAAATTTCAATATACAATGAAACTCAAAATAAATGTTCTACTGTGTCCTGTATTTTACATGTAACATTTAAAAATGCTTACAATATGAACCAATATAATAAGGTTCATCGAATTTAAAAGACTTTTTACAAATTAAATATAAAACAGAATATATACAAAACAACAAATTAAATTAAGTAATATCCAGTTTGGCTATAATTATAATAACTAAAAAAAAAATGGACTATCTATAGATAAATAATAACTACATTTTATGTCTAAGCTACAGTCTATTTTGTAATCACATTATATTTATATAATAATTTTTGTTTTAATATTTATACAATAGTATATAAATAATAAAGTAGAAGTTTTTATCTCCATAGTAGAAATATAATTACGTTACATATTCGATTCAAGAATTATTATTCATTATGAATGTTCTTTAAATATTTTATTGACTTTTTAAGAATTTTATACGGGTCATAAAATGATTGATTGGTATACTTTTTAGTCATAGAGAAATATTTTATAATCATTTGGCTCATCTTACTCATATTACATTAATTATATTTATATACATTTATTTATCTAAAATATTATAATTGTGAATTAATGAAATTTAATTGCAAATATAAAATATTTTTATTCATAAAATCTTTTTATTCATAATAATTAAGTATATTGAATATATTAATGCATAATGCTATATTATAATAAAATGATTGTAACAAAATATCTATAAAAGTAGAAAAAATACGTTTGCATTATAAATGTGATAGAATAGTAATTAAAATCAATTTTAATATAAAACATAATATTATTAATGCCTTCAGAGTTTGAAATAAATTATTCAATATTAGTATTTCGGGTATATAAAGTTTTACTCAAATCGTTCTTTCAACGAGCAAAATTAATTTTTCTTTTAATTAACAAGAAATCAATTAATACATAATTATTTTGTAAATACATTACTTCATATTAAAAGAAATTCCTTAAAATGTATTAAATATACAATTGCTTTTAATACATCACTTCATATTAAATGCTGAAGGTTCTTCTTACTGATATATTTACGACAGAGTATCGCACGAGCTCGTCTTTCATAACTAACTCACACATTATGTTTCTATGTTTCTCTAAAATTTTATAGACAATGTAATAGTAAAGACTCGAATAAAGAATATAATCAAACATACTTTGTCATAATTGTAATAGATCATAAATATTAAATTTACTTTAAAAGTAAAAGGAAGCAATACAAGTCTTATATGATCATATTTAAAATATTAATTTTCCTTTACTTTTTTTCGCAAATAATACATTATTAATAGATAAAATAAGTTAACCGTATTAATATAAAAAACAGAAAATTTAAAATTAGTACTAAAAGTTGAAAGATAAGTTTAACCTTTTACTTAATAATTAATAATAATGCCCTTACATATTTATAATGAACTACTAATATTTGGACTATTATTTCTTTTATATAGGCTTTATATTTATGTATGTTAGATACGAATAATTTTGTTGTCTAAATATTATCAATATTAATATGATTTGTAGTCTTAGTGTTTCCAACTTTTAGTATTATTAACAAGTTTGTTGTTTAAATAATATCCGATCCTTTAATAATAATTAATATGCTAAACAATTAATAAAAGAGTATTAACAATTTCTAATAAAATGATTATATAATAAACATTGAAATTTTAGTTTCTTACATAAGTTTTAGATATAATTGAGAATAAACAATAATTATTTGATATTACAAATAATATTGTTTTACCTGTAAATACATTTACGTATTTTAGTTTATTACAATATATGCAGATAGAAAGTGTATTTTATATTAATAATTTTGATTATTATTTGACATTTTTCATTATGATCGAAGTATTCCAATAAAAAATAAAATAATATCTTATTTTCAGTGATTCTATTTGCGAGTAATTTTATTGGATTGCGCGCTATGTCAATCTCGTTATATCAATAATTACCCACAGCTTCATGACCATTAATAAATTTAGATCCCTATAATTTTCATTTGTTCTAATAACCATGTGTTGTGATAATTGTTTCAAGTGGCTAGCAATTAATAATTTAAACTGGTGGCTCGTCTGCAATAGCTAAAAAAATTTAGTTCTCGAGAGATTTCTTTTAAATTCGTGGGAACGATATTCCATCGCTTACAAAGCAGCAATGACATTTACTTTGAAGACCTCCTAACTTCACGCACAATCTTGACATATATATTACATTATTTTATTAATATACAGATCGAATGTGCTATTACTACTATTACCATTACGCCTTTTCCTAGTACTCCTATCTTGTAAATTACTCTTTCTTCTAAATTTTTAGTTTTAATGCTTTTAAGTAAACAGATTGGATATAGTTTGAATACGACATTATGTTTAAATCATAAATAATATTAAAAAATTATTAAGATTCTTGTCTATAATTATAAAAATATATAAAACAGTATTGTCAATATGATATATTTCTAATGTAATAAGTAATATTCGATAATATTAAATAGTAAAATTATGTAAGCACATTTATATGATGATTAACAAATATACATATACATTTTATTTTTTTCAAACTGATCTAATTAGTTGCACATAAAAATTTATACATAATTTTATTATCCTTTATATTTATTAATTTATGAATACATACATGCAATTTCTTATGAATTTCTATATGGTCTTGTATATATTTTCTATCAAGTGATCAATCAATTGTTATTCATTATGTATTTCATGCTTACAAAAGAATTATAAAATTAGATCAAATTTCTTCAATTGAACTTCTATTAGGATAATATATATATCTTTATTTACCGTAAGTCATATTTTAAATATACTTTTAAAATATTTTTGTTCACTCAGATTATTGAAAATGAATTTTCATATTGTTATAATAAAATACAAAACGATAATGAAATAAATAATTTCTGAAAACGTAAATTTAAAATTTTTGTACAAAATAATCATCTTATTTAAATATATTTTTAAAATAAATTAACAATTATTTGTTTCAAAATATTTTAAATTTAAAGTTTTGTTGAAGCTTCAAATAAATTGTAATACTGATCGTGATAATTTCAACTGCTACTAAAATAAATAAATTTTGTTATCACTTTGAAATGAACCAGAAAGTGATTTGATTAAAATTATACTCTAATAATACATTATTATATTATATATTATTACAGTATTTAATTGACACTTAATAAATAAATTAAATAACAAGTAAATATAATAATTAATATTATTTTTTATGCGCTATAATGTATTTATATACGTATTATATTAAATGAATTTTTTTAATGAAGTTAAAACTATCTTATAAGTTTCTATTTCATACGTATATGAGTTTATTAAATATTTTAAGATATATCAAACAAAATTTTATCAAAGATTTTAATATTTTATATTTAAAAGTATACTTGTAATTTTAATTTGATTTGAAAAACTGTAATCTGAATATCTTTGATTAATATATTAATTAATTAATGTGTACTAATATGATTTCGTTTTTAAAAAACTAAACAATTTTATTACTTATTGCTATATTTTTAAACTATTCTATAAATATTAGGTATTAATCAAAATCAAAATTTTTTTGAAAAAAATACTATTATTGTTATCGGATCATTTAAAATTAATAGAATTAGAAAGTATCGTTAAAATAATGAGTTAGCTCAATTGTTTCTATATAAATATTTCATTATTTAGATTTCATTGAATTTTTTTCTGTAACCGATTAAGTTACTAAATTTATATTTAATTTATTAAATTCTCTGATACATTATGACTTATATTTTACAATTCAGTAATAATTGTATTAATGCATGTATTTTATATCAATTTATTAATATATTTTATATTAAGAAATTGCAATTTAGTAGTGAATTGTTATATTTGTTTAGCCCTGCTTATAACTTTTTGCGTTTGTATGTATTATATATTATTATACTTGGGTAGAGATAGCTTAAAAATACAAAAAATACATCTGGTCAGGTTGTGCGAAATAAAATTTATATATATTAATTTTTTTTACCGCTTATTATAAACTCACAATAATAAAGATAATTAATTATTCATTAATAAGGATGTTTATAACATCGATTGTTTGGCTGATGAAATCGAAGTAATTTTTTGAAGAGCTTAATTTATCCATATTTATTAAAAAGATATACACATTGTTTTTAAATAAACGAATTTTTTAATATATTTATTTAGTAATAAGTATATATATATATATATATATATATATATATATAAAATCAGAATTGTTTTCTCAGAAAACGGAAAGCATTTTCAACGATTCGAACAATATTCGACGGGGACAGGCGTAAGCCATTATTTAACGATTTTAATGATACGCCGTAGATAATAAATAAGCTCGATGTTGTTACTTAAATACTCAACAGAAACGAACATAGCCTCAAGTTTCTATAATTGAAAGAGCTTTTTGTTATTTTTTCTTCTTGCTCTTGGTGGCGACCTTCTTTTCGTTTGTATCCTCCTCGGTCTGCATCTCACGGGTTTCCAAGCGCAGCGGAGGTCGTCGTTCTGGGCCTTTGGGCGTCCTCATTTCTAGCTGTATGTCAGACTTTTCGCCAGCTCCAACAATGCCCTTCTTACCAATCCTCAAGATGAAGATGTCATGGTCGGGATCACGTAGATCCTCCGCGGTTGCGGCCTCTTTTTCTGTCGCCACGGTCACGCAGGCCTGTCGTCCGTTATCATTCGAATCATTGCTGGCGTCCGTTAGTCCTGAAACCTAGTGCATCTTTTATAATCACAAGAAAAGACTGATTTTCTTGTTGCAAAATTATTAAATTTTTATTTTCCAGATCAAGGAATCTTTTTTTACTACGTGCTTGGTCATGTCTAACAGCATTTTATAAAAATCTTGTATGACAAGAAATGTTTTCTCTCGATATCTGCTATCGATATTATTACGAACACTATTCATTAACATATATATCAAATAAATTATAAAAGAAACAAACTAGAAAGATTAAAGTCTAACTTTTATTTTGATATTTTATATGCAATTGATTCATACTAAAAAAAAAAAAAAAAAAAATTCAAACCAATTATTATTTATCAAAGGCATTATATGGATTCTTATATACTATTGTGCTGCGAGTGTGATCTATTGCTAAACAGTGATCTTTCCTTATTGTAGAATGGTCCTAGTAATACAAATTAACGCTGCAAAATAATTGTCAAACCGTATTAATGTGTAAATATATTGAATGTGCATCGATGCAAATCGAATCTATTACAAGTAAAAAAATATTGCATAAAATACTTTAACGTTTCAAGGTTTTCTTGGTTAAAGAAAAGTTAAAATGAGAGCGACCTCTTGCTCGCTGATCTATTTTGCTGTCGATTTGTACTCGTATAATTTATGCATAATTTACACAATACAATTATTATCTAGAATAGGACATGCAAGCAAAGACCTTGAGGACAACAGCCTTGCCGCAGGGTTCCTTAGGACCACGACTCGTCTGAATGGGCTTACAGTTGTTGTTAGTCTCTTCTTGGCCTGTCGATTTTTCACATTTATTAATCTCTCTAGCGGGACTGGCGGATATTCTTGCTCCTGAGCCAATGCGACATGGTGAACACGGGAGTTTTGGCGGCTTGCACACTATGCAATCTTTCTTCTCCTTTGCGGCGGTACCACTCTCCTCCAGAACGTCAAGGTCGCAACTCGTATGGTCGAGAACGCGGCATTTGTAGTTTAGCGGTGTGGTGCACTGGTTTTGATCATTGGCCTTGACAATGAAACTTGATGTTGAAGTTGAGTTGATATCCGGAGACTGGAGCTCTGTAACTATCGTCTGACCGCAACCAGAGATACGGCTCAGAATGCATATACTACCCGAGATTGTGTTTCCGAATGCTAAGGGCAGCTCGCCCTGGAATGTTTTTGAGGGATTCTAGAATAACACCAGAATAAAATAAAATAATATGATATAAATTCGAATATCTGTGTATTAAAATTTCCCTTTTATTGCTTCTAACAATCGTGACACCATCTCCATTAATTTGAATTACAATAAAATTTGCCGAACATTATTTACATGTAGAGCTTGTAAATAAGGAATAAAATAAGGAAAATTTCATTGGTATAGTTAAAAATATGAAAACTCAAGTTTATAGTTGAAAAATAACAAGCGAGTGACTTAAATTTATGCCATATAATATTCTACTATCATTTTAAAATTATAAATTAAAAAAAGTGTACAAATGTTCGTCAAAATATTATACAGCAGAAAAAGTTTTTTCGTGTAATATGTTTCGTGCACTCAAATTATAAAATATATAATAAAAGTTTAACTTATCTTTTCAAACTACTTGGACTGTGTTCAATTTGCTATACTTTCTTTTAAAATTTTAACTTAACTATTCGATACATCACTGCACCCATAAATTTATTATTGCGAATAATGTTTTTATAATTAATAGTAAGGAATGTTACTAACGGATAGATTAGCTCCGGCGTAGCGCGAACTGTCGATTATTTCTTTGCGCAGTGCTGCGAAATGAATACTCATATCGATCTCTGTATATCCTACAAGGACATCTGGTTTTATGTCTTGGGGCATTTTTTTGAAGACGTTCAAAACAATTCTGAATTCTTTGCACATATCCACGACAGAATCCTGATCAAGAGCAAAAAGAACCGATCGGCCGGAGTAAAAAGGTTCGATATTGGCGGCAGTTCCTGGTTGAGGCTCAAACATAGGATCCACCGGCGTTAGTTGAAGACTATCGTCCTGTTTAGATAAAAACATTTCGTATTGTGCTTGCTTTATTTGAAATAATATGTTTATTAATTCATTCCATGTAAGATGTAATGCATTACCATACGTTACATTTCTCAATATAATAAACACGTTTTCACGTAGATATTATTAGTACGACAATTAAATAATTTTTTATCGACATTTTTATATGTTTTTATGATAATAATATAAATAGCCACTTTCAATGATGTTTCATATAAATAATATTTTAATATGTTGTTTATGTTATATGTACTCGATTAGAATCGTATTTGAAAAGTAAATTTTGAAGATTTAATACATTTTTATATTGAATTGTATATCGTATTTCTCTGTTATTTCGTTAAATAACAACTATATAAGATAATTTTATGCCTATAATAAATATATTTCTAACCCAGTCGAAATCGAGAAATTTAAATGCGACGGTTGTTGGTACAAAAAACATTTCGTTAAGTTTAGCTAATCGCTGACTTCTTATTTGACAAACGTATAATTCTAAAAGAAAGAAACATTGCTCCTTGCAGGTTTCCTCGCAGCGAGCCGGATCACACTTAGCCATTTTTCAATTACAGCTTTTTTCACAAATTTTTATTCAAGCAATATTTTTTCCTTATTTTTTATAGTATTTTTTGGGTAAAAAGCGTTGCATAATTTTTTTTTTACTAAACTTATTTTATTTATACAAATGCATTATTAAAAAGACTAGAATTTTGACATTATTAGCCTTATAACCTTATAATTCACGTGATTTTGAATTATAGAATAAATGAAAACGGTGAATAAATGACGTTCGAATGAATTCGGCATCAATGAAACTTGACATTTTCAAACCTTATTTGTAATTAGATTTCAAAATTTTAATAATGTTATTATAAAGTCCACATATATATATTTTCATATATTTGTAACCAATTGTATAATTGGCGCCTCTTAAAATGTCTCGAAATATTAAACAAGAACTTTTTTTATTGGAATTTTTGGTAGATAAGGTTAATATACCATCTGTGAAAGCCATGGAGGAGGATATTATGTTGGTGAAAACGTGTATCGAATTTAAGGTTGATTATATTCCAATTTGATTTAAAAATGTTTTTCAAAAATATGAATATATTTGCTGAGGTATATGTCAACTGTAACATTTATTAAAATTAAAATTCATTTTTTTATACAAAAAATTTAACTTTTAACTATCTATATATGCGGCAAATATTTTATATGAATAAAAGTAATACAACCACATAATTTTATACAGTAAACGTTTTTGTTTTTTTATCTAGAAAACAAACAAAGAGGGTGAAAGATTGTTAATGGTAAAGATTGTTGAAAAATTGTTATTAAGTAGTAATACATTAAATATGAATGTTACATTTCCTACGTATTACGGATTTAATATTTTTCTTTTATTTGACCAATCACTTCACATGACAATAATATAAAACTCACACAAACATAAACTTATGCATATAATACAATGAATAATACTTTTTATTTATGCGTTCCTTGATTTGAAAACTTAATTCTACTTCACATAAATAATATAAATAATATAATAAAAATAATATTTGTGATTTAATTTTTTTAAGTTAGATAATCGATCAATAACTTAATAAACTACAAGGAACTTGTAATCGCATCTAAATATCCAATCTGGATTACAGATTCTAAATTTACCGCCAATCGATATATGCCAGGATGCAACAGATACTTATTGCAGCTGCCTCGGGGACGACGGGCAGGTTTTCCGGAAGGGAAAATCTTGTTTATTTGCCTTACCGTGCAATATTCTGAAGAAACCCATCAAATCATTCCCGGTTGTCATGTCGGTCTATAAGAAACTACCCCCAAGAGTCCTGCCGGACGTCATGACTATCGGCACCAACCAAATCGAACTCCGTGACATAATGAATTGCCTCCTTGAAGAATCCTCCTCCAAGGTAGAGAATCCCTGCAGAACACTGAAGAACAACTTTAGGATCAAGACGGCAACCGGGCAGTGCGTCGGCGAGGTTGGCCTCTACCTACGCTTCACACAACTGGGCCGCAAAGTCGTCACGCAGTTCCAAAATCCTCACAACAAAAAGCTTTATCTTTTCTCAGGGGCGAATAACAGCCCAATTTTCCAATGCAGGAAAGTCCCATCCGAACTTTTGCAGAGTGACGTATTAGAGCACTGTATCTGCGAAAAACCTAAGTGTGGACCAAAAACTCCGGCAGTTCGAAATTGTTGTACAGATGGCCCGACCCTCGATGTTAAGTCTCATAATTGCCCTTCTGGCGAAACTAAGAAAAAGAAGTCAAACAAGTCAAGGCCATGCTGCTCAGGACCCAGCAAAGAACCTTCTAGTGAGATATTAATTTTACATATAGTTTTCTTATTTCATGTTTTTTTTTATTTTGCTTCTACTCAAGCAATTACAAATGTATAAGCCAATCCATCGAATGATTTTTTAAATATTTTAATTGCGTCACTTAATTGAAACTATGATAAAACTTTAAAATTTACTTTTTCAATATTGTGCCTCATATAGAAATTAATGAATCGACGTCTTGTCAAGATGATTCAGAAGAAAAAACCAGAAAATGCGGATGCAAAGTTAAAGACGATAAGTTTTCATGCAAAAAATAATTCAAAGTTGTAAGAAAGTATTCATGATATATGTACGTAATAATAAAATATTAACAGAATTTAATTAATTTGATTTAGATTAAAGCGATTTCATTATAATATTCACAATTATCCATAATTAAAAAAATACCAACCACCATTTTCATAAAATTAAACTTTGTATAATGATAAACATTTTATAGCATGAAATAATTAAATGACCTATTAATTTAACTAAAATTAAGTATTAAAAAAGATTATACTCACAATGATTTCAATTAAATATTAAATAATTATAGCGTAAAATATTTAAATGACTTTATTGTTTTCTTTAATCAAATGATGAAGATTAGAAAATTTGATAATAACATTTTTTTGTTTTATCATGTTATGACATGTTTTCTAACCTATTTCAGTTACTTAAATCAAAATATTTTCGGTGATGTGTAAACAAAAATTTCAACGTCCCAGTGAACAAAAAGCAAAAAATTTTAAAAAAATATCAGAAAAAAAGAAGGAAAACATTCAAGATAAAAATGAAAACATTCAAGATAAAAATGAAAAAATTCAAGATAAAAATGAAAACATTGAAGATAAAAATGATAACGATGAGAAAGAAGAAATAGATAAGTTTGAAACATTAAGAAAACAAAGAGAACACTGCCAGCAAGTCTGGGAGAAATCATGGGAAAAGAAACTCAAAGATGAGGAACGCATGGAGGACTACAAAGCATGTTGTGCACCAAACGAATTTTTTAAGAAACCAAAAATGCAATCTAATATTTG